TCATTGGGTAAAAAGTCGTATCTTAACTAATAAAAAAGTTATAACAATAATAAGTTTAACAAAATCTACATCGTACAGCTATCTTTTTCGAAAATCGTATGGATTGTTGATAAATAATAGTGTAATTACTTAATTACTCGGCTATGTATTAACTAGATGCATTTTCTTATGAGAAAAAAATATATTATTACGAATACATATGGTTTAAAATGTAAAACACGGCCTCCAAACGCCTTGGGGTTCGTCCGTTAGGTTGCGTTATAATTGCTGCTGTTTTTAAAATAATGATTGCTTGTATTTTGTATTTCATTATACACTGAGTATATAAATGAAATAATGATAAATAAATAATCAAACAAATAAGATAATAATTAAATATGAAATATAATATATAGTAGTTTAATTCCATTGTAAATATAAACACCATAAACTTTAAATTTCTTGACCGCTCTCATGCATTAATTATATATAGATGTATATACATTTGTATAAAAGAAAATATTTACAATTTTTTATTTGTATTACAGGTGCTAAGAGAAATTAAAAAGGTACCTATTTAAATTCAACAAATAATATGAACAACCAGTGTAATTGTTATGGATAGAATGAAGAGATTTGCCGTATTTTTTATTATAAGGTATTTACTTTTGTAGTAATGTTTTTTATTTCATATAACTGTATTAAATAAGAATCTGTTACATAATCATATTGTAATAACCTACAACATTATAATAATTAAAATTGGATTTGTAGTGGTAGTCTGTATTATGCATTTGATTGCGGCGAAACCCCAAGTATTATATGTACAGTAGTTTGGAGGCCGTGTTTTACATTTTAAACCAAATGTATTCGTAATAATATATTTTTTTCTTATAAGAAAATGCATCTAGTTAATACATAGCCGAGTAATTAAGTAATTACACTATTATTTATCAACAATCCATACGATTTTCGAAAAAAATAGCTGTACGATGTAGATTTTGTTAAACTTATTATTGTTATAACTTTTTTATTAGTTAAGATACGACTTTTTACCCAATGACCTTTTCTATTGGTAATATTTTTTGGATTAAAACTACGTTTTAACCGATGTCCTATCTCGTACCGTTCTCGAGCTACAGTCATTTCGATGTATAGCGCGTTCCGCCATCTTTGCCCCCCTCCCCCCAAGTTCTCGACCACCTGAAAAGTAGGCGACATGCGTATTTTGTATCACCACAGTCCATATTACAACTATCAGCAAAGATATTTGATATTACTTCTTTGCGACATTCACAAATTAATTCTACTTTCGGTAAAAAAATCTACACGAAAAGTCCATTTTTACATATTTTATACAATAACTTGTTTATTTATAGAGATACGACCTCGGACCCAATGACCATTATTGTTGTCCATATTTTTAGGATTACAACGACGTTTTAACAGATGTTCTATCTTTTACCGTTTTCGAACTATCAGCGTTTTAACGCATAGCGCAAACCGCCATGTTTGCCCCCTCCCCCCCACCTTATCGACCACTTTTGAAATAGGCGACATACGTAATTTTGATCACCACAGTCCATATTACAATAATCAGCAATAACATTGCGTACTACTTTCATGCATGCTCAACCCCCCTCAGCTCCTGGACTATTGATAGCACAATGGGTCATGTCTGATTAGGATTAACCCAGAAACTTCATTTCAATAGAATGAAACAAATGATTCATCGTTGTATTATTCAGTTTTGTACAAGAAATTTTCATGTTACTCTTGTTATATAGAATACATCTGCTGCTTATACTATGACGGATACAATTATTTCTTCGTATATTATAAAAAATAACAGTACAATTAAATATCAGTACTGTAATTTTTTTTAAATATATGTAAGGATTTATCTTCTTTACCTATTTACTCCTAAACCAATTTAAATTAAGATGTCCAAGGCCTCACTTACACAAACTTAAAATCAAGGGCCATGTCACCGTAAATATGTTAAGTAAACAGTTAAAAAAAAGCTGAACACATGTATTTTTTTACTTAAACAGGACACTATCCAGCAAAGATGTCTTGAAACATCAAATTATATAACATCTTTTTAAAGCTTTTATTTTTCAAATCTTAGATTTACAGAGTACCCTAATCAGTACTATAATATTTACTCTCAGAAATTAATCTCCTTTAATATGATGAGTACGGTATAGTTAAATTAAATTCCTTTCGATCTAACTCGGTTTGAGCATCAGTGTAATTATAATTTAATCAACATACATGTACTAATATCCGTTGAGCAGCTATTGTAGCTGGATGGTTCCAATGGTGATGTCAGAGTCAGACCAATAACTATAAACTGGTACATTTAGTATGACTGCTCCCTGCGGCTACTAGAGGATTATTATTGTCTGCAAGGGTGCCTAGCCCGCAATTGCACAAACTGATTAAACTGGTTTCAATTAATTTTAAAATAATTTGTATATTTAGTGTATTCTTTTACGGTCTCTACATGTTATGCTTAAAACGGCATTGGAAAGGTCGGATAAGGGATAATGTTGGATAACCCAGAAAATCACTAAAAAACTATTAGTTTTTACATCCAACTGTGTACAGTAATTAATGGAATCACGATTTGTTGATACTACTTTTTGAATGGGATGGTCGGATAAGACGGGAGGTCAAATGATTGAAGATAGGATGGTAAAGACACTCTTTTGTATTTCCACTACCATGTTAAAATAGCTAGTTTTAGAATGAAAAAAGTACTTGGTTCAATTGAGCCATCGACTGAGTCTTCTGATATAAAATTCTATCTTCTTTATAATGCACAAACTGTTCAAACATTGCAAATTGAAAGTGCGACTTGTAACCTATATCATTATTACCATTATTACATATTGGGATGGGGACGCCACCTCGGTCCGTATTTACTCAAATATGAAGTGTATGTAGAATGTAGTGAGGTGCCTTGTGTAGTTTTGTTACTGAAGCCCAGCTGTCAGCAGCGTTCAGCTTACCCAAGAAGTCTCGAAGCAGAACTTCATTCTCCAGAAACCATACGTTGTGTAGTTTATCAATAAAAAATGTATAGTTACTCAGTATATTCCATACGTACAGTAGTCGACTGCACTATAGCGTGTGTTAATAGTTATGGTGGCATTGCCCCTGGCTGAGGCTGCGGTTATGGCGGGTAAATGGTGCGGTTAGCGCGGGTTTAGTGCGGTCAATCTGTATCAGCTGTTACCGCTCAGTCGCATTGGCACCGGCCAATGTAACATGAAGACTTGCTGTTCAGTCCTTTACTGTTAAATGCTATTTTAAACAGACATATTTTTTCCGTTCGTTTTTAGAAAAACGAATCTTACACACTTTCAGCGAGTTGAGGAAATACGCCGCGCATCCGAATCAAAAATGCATGACGAGCTCATTGTAGATTTCGTATAGAAAAATAATAACTGAATCACGTTTTCAGTGACTAACTTAAAATATAATAACCATACAGTACCCTAGTTGTTAGTTAGGAGTACAAAGCAGAGCTAGTAGGCCTATATTTTTATGACTGAAACCGTTGTGTGTTCAGTTAAACAATTGAGATTTTTAGGTATTTAAATACTGTATATCTCTGTTTTTCGTCCGATGGATTCTTATTTCTAAACTGTTGAAATTCCACCTATCTCTAATGGTTCTTTAGCTGAACATTCCACGGATTACCACGGTGGTGTGGTAAAGTGGTGGCTCGGAGCCCAAATAACGTAACAGTTCCACCATTCACGAAGACGGAAAGGACTAAAAGGTTGGACCTTTTAGGCGAGACAAATTCTTTCCGAATAAGAGAAAATCTCTTCTATAATATTCATACGACAAACAATAAAAATAAATCCTTAGTTATAACAGTTTAAAATATTACACTGAACTATAACTAATAACTATAACCACTGTTACATTTCGAAGCGAAGCTATAACAATTTCACTGTAGAATTAGAGTGGTCCAGTAGCGACGGCGACACCATAACTATATTACGGAGCTATTAGGCTACATAACTACATGACTGAGTTTTCCACAGATATTGTGCTCTTTATTGGGTCCGGCAGCGCACTATCATTCTAAGTCTATATGAGAACATGATAAGCTGTGAGAAAAATGTATTTAAGATTCTGGATTGGCTCTTTCAAAATAGTTTGTTCAAACGAATTCCATGAATTCAATCAAAACGAAACTAACATACAGAACAAAGATACGAATGTATAGAGAGAAAACATTTATTTGCTATTGTAACAATATATCTGCTATGTGTGTGGATTTTCGAGAATACTTTAAGTTTAGTGTTTTACTCTCACTCTCTAGACTTAGGATGGCTATCTTGTTGGGTATGAGTCGAGTGTGGTTGAGATCGATGAACAGTGATTATGATTAGTTGCTGGTAATAAACCGAAGAGTACATGATAAGCAAATTTGGTCGACTTAAATATCGGGTGTCCCACCAAAATCAGCATTCACCTAACTGTATTTAAGAAATGTTTAATTTACTGAACTTACAAAATAGTTTTATTCAAATCTTTGTTGTGTTCTAGAGGAGTTTTTAGATTCTATTATTCTAATGGGTATATTAGATTAGATTCGTAAGACATCGACATACCAGGGCACGATTTTCAAAACAAGAATGTAAGAAGAATAGGTGTTTAATGAATGGGATTAAATCCATGTTGTTGAATAAGACAATATATTTATTTCAACAGAGCCATTTATAAAAAAACCCAATGGTCAAGGATAGCTGTATCTATATAGTTTCAAATTATCAAAACGCTTCTTACTGCTCAGCATCGAACCGGCGATCTTCTAGTTACCAGGCGTGCACTTTTCTACCCAGCCTTAGATGCTAAGTGATCCCGCTTGTCCTACTTCCAACCGATGGAAACTTTGCAAGAAAATCATCCTGGAGAGGGCAACGTTTTCTTATAAATTGACAAGTAGGGATGATACCAAAAACATATGGATATAAACAATGTTTTCCCTGTTTCAGGTGTAGTGTGATGTGTTTGTGGAGGACTAGCCAGTGAGGACCGCCATGTTCTGTCTGTGTAAGAAGGCCAGGACGTATCACTGCAAGGTGGTGCTGCTGGACGAACAGGAACTCATCCAGGAGATACAGGTGAGTGATAGTAGATCTCTCAACTTATTGGAACATATACAGCCTTATACGTTTTATGCTTTCACGGAGTAAAGATTGTGACACTCGATAGATATACAGGTTAAATATACAGATTAAATCCAAGGTCGAAAGTAATATTCTACTCATCACCCCAAACCTTTTAACTTTGAATAAGCATGCTTAATTTTTACCATTAGGCCTAGTTACCCCAAAATATATTTATGTTTACACAAAGAAAGTAAATGACATATTTCAAAACTTTGTTATATTACAAAACAATCTCAAAGAAGCCGATGTTGAAAGTCCAAATCCCCCTTCGCCCCTCATCTTTACCCCCTTGCGTCTCCCCTGTATCCTCATCTTGTATCGGATCGACAAACGTAGAATTTCGCGGTCCACTAGGCCTCACTGATGGACGTTTCAGTTCACGGTCAAGTAAACTGAAACAAACGTTCCTCTTTTACCGTTGGAATAAATAAAGGCTTGAAAATATATGGTGCAGGACTTATTTGAAATAATAAAAGTAGGCTATGTTGTTTTTGGGTTGGACGTCGTGTAAATTGTCATAGTATTCCTTAAATCATCGGGTAATATCATTGATAAAACATACTTCATTTATTTTAAGATATTTGTCAAAATATTTCCAACAGAACACTCTTTACGTGTGTTTCATGTTTGTGATGCTGAGCGCTAGAGTCGGCGAAATGTGTTTTACTATTGACTATTGGATACTGATTAGTTGTGTCATTGGTCAAAGGTTTTACAACAGTTACCTTATACAACTTATTTCGTACATACAACTTATTACAGGTAAATACAACAGTATTTCGGGTCAGTTTGATGCTTTGTGCTATGCCGTTCGATTATAAAACCAGACGAAGAGCTTTGGTTTATAATTAGATAGTTTTATTTAACTAAACTAGTCTTAAAATAATTTTACGAATCAACTAGTAAACGTACATCAACAGGGCGGAAGTAGCGGAGTAGTTTTATTCCTTTGTATGGTCTTAAAAGGTTTGATTACAGTCTGTTACATCCTAACCTACTTATTACACCACAAACAACCTACTCACAACACGATTTACATTACTGTCAACAATGGTTGTCGGATCAGCTGATTCGCCCAGTCACGTGACTCGCTGTTTGGTCACGTCGTCACCTGTTGATACAATTCTGCAACTTGTATTTCACGGGTTAATCCACGATGATCTCGACTCCGTGACCGTGAACAGAACACGGATCGCCTTCAACCTATCACAACTGTCCGAGTTTGGGATGTCACTGTGGTTCGCAACGGGAATGTTGCTGAAAGTCAACAGTCCCGGAAGATCAAATAATTTATACCTGTGCCGCTAGGTCAAAAACTACAATGTTTGCAGTGTCTGTAGATCAAAAGTCCCAGTAAGTCAAATAGTACAGTCCGAGCTAAAAACGTGGTCTATGTTAAAGCAATTGACTTATTGGGAATTTGACCTAGTGCAACAGCAGTTTTAATATAACGAAATACGGTAAAATACAAGTTCAGTTTCGCTGAGTCAACAGTGCCGGAAGATCAAAAGCAATAAAAGTGAACGTCGATTCAGTGTAAAGTAGACCTCCTGCAACGCTTACTACACCAACAAAACTTGCTTTTAGTTACTTCGTGTTTTGTCATAATTAGAATAGAGCTAAAATTATCATATTTGGTACATAGCTTATCTATTAATGCTTCTTGCCAACTGTTTGGTCAACACTGTAAATAGGTATAGTTTATGTAATGAAAAGCCTTTCGTCAAAATTTGTGGCATAAAATACACGCAAGGACGATCTGAAAATTTCTGGTTATTATATACGTTTGTAAAAGGAGATCCATTTAATTTTAGAACTATTTTATAAGTTATAATGTAGTCTACACATAAACTGTGTAAATGTATTACGCCTCGGAAGGGTTGAAACCTGTCCAAACTATCATATATATTATTAAAACGTAAATATGGTTTTTTCACATTCTGAATCAACCAGTCGACGGATTTTCATTATTTTTGTGTTGAAAGAAAGATAATTTTGAGAACTAGGGAATGTCAAAGCCATAATTATAATTAAGGGTCCCAGTTTTTTAGAAATTAAGTTTTAATTTTTTTAAAGTCTAGCAGCCGACGCTAACCTTCTAGCCAGCTTTTAGTACAATATAATTTGCTTAGCATAACAGCTGTAAACATTCAGCATTTGTGACACAAATTCAGCATTTGGAAACAAATTTAAAGACATATTTAGAGTTGACTTATTTATACTTTGTGTAATGCTGACCATTGATACATTCAATTCCTAGGTATGAGGATGGCAGATTATTTAAATTTGCATAGAAAAATAGTAGGATGTTCAAATTATTTTTTAAAGGAATCTTTGTAATCATCGATTTGTTTTAGTCCCATATAATTTGTATTAATATAATTCGAAGTAAGATTGTAATTGAAAATGAACTTTCGATGGGTTGAATCATGTTGAATCCATGCGTACGCACGTGCGAATCAACGTTTATGGGGAGAAAAGTCGCAATTTCATGTACCGAAATTGAATCAAACCCAAGACAAATTACTTAATGGCCATCTTCGTAGTGAGCGGCGACGCTTGGCAAGGCATGAGGAAGCGTCTGCAGACGGACGGACAGACAGACATATTGCAAGTTGTCCGGAAGAACTTTCTAAGCCACACAACAGATAAGCCCTGCACACACCAGAGCGATACTCCGTGCGATACTGGAGCGGGCGCGATACTTTTTCTTGGAAATTCTCTTGCGATACCAGTGGTCCGTGCGATACCATGGAGCCTTATGGAGCCGCACACACCAGAGCGAACCGCGATACGCGATACCGAGGCGAATGCGATACCGTAGCGATAGTATCGCGGTAACGCTGCATGCACTGTTTGCAGCGCTGTATCGCGGCGATACCAATGTGGCCAAACGATGAACTACTCACTTTTGTCTTTTCTCTGTACGTGTAAAAACAACAACAACATGTCGTGTATCACCGAACATTTACTTGAAGTTGTTTATACATACCCGATGCACTATGATTTATATCACGTTTTAGCAACTAGAAATTTAAAATAGGGTTCGTCTTCATTATTTGTTATTAAACTACGTTTTTCTGAAGAATTTACAATAGAATTCCCAAACATTCAGACATCTTGGATTTATTAATTATTTTAACACTTAAACATTTGATTTGAGTTATCAATAGTTTTTCCAGTGCCGCCGTAAATCCAATGTTGGGTGATTGCTGACAGAATAACGTATTTAATACTGGTTTGATGATGATTCAAATTACAATTTAATAGTTCATACAATATTGTATTAGCTATAGCACAGCATATTGTAGAGGTTTTGCTAGTCAGACTAGACGAACTATAGAGATGGTAGGTAATGGTAATGGTAATGGTAATGGAGGTGGGTGGAATGCTAATTGATCCGTCAACTCATTGAAAAATATATCTACATACCAGTCTTACCTTAAAGTGATTGGGGAGCGAGCTGGCGTAGTGGTTAGAGCGCGGGACTTCAGTCCCTGAGGTCCCGGGTTCGATCCCCGCCAAGTCACCAATGGATGTTATCTAACTGGTTATGCCGCAACCCCTAGGTCTAGCCTGAAGTAATGTGAAAAACAATCCCAAGCTCGTGCCTAGCGTCCTAGGAAAAAAACCTTAAAGTGATTGCTAGCCGTTCTTCGGCACTCGCTTCACGGTAGTGGGTACTTTCCTTTTCAATAATGCCAGAAATCAAACTCAGCAACTCGTCAAAACATTCCTGATTAATTCCAGAATATGTAGCATCTTGTTTAATCTTTTCTTAACTGGGTCATGAGCGTATATGGTACTCGCCAAATCGCAGCCGTTCTTTATTTATGTCGTATACCCACATTTTCCTTGCTCTCTCATCTTCTATAATAGCACGGCTAGTTAACAGAAAAGCTTCTTCCTCATCAGACCATGTCATAGTTTTAAGTTTACACACAGTACAGTATACAAACACTAACTATAACACAACACTTTTGCAACTAGAGAGTCTCACAACCACCGCACCCTCTGAGGTGTACTGGCTTTCCCGCGCGTCCCTTTCCCGCTCTGGTGTGGAAGCACCTGTTTTCGCTGCGATATTATCGCCCAAATATCGCAGATAAAATTCTAAGAATAGTATCGCGCCACTCTAGCGATAAAGTATCGCTCCGGTGTGTACAGGGCTATATAGGGAATAAGCTATTACCGTAGTACTTATGGTAACACCTGGACCCGGGACCGATTTAATTTTTCGTTTTGAGGTCCCTAGAGGCCAAAAACACCATCCGTTCAAATTCATATATACAGGGTGATCAACTCAAGGAGGCCACCATTGGGAAGTCGGAAACGGTAAGAATTAGAGAAAACATTAAATGGGGGACATTCCTTTATTTTTTGTGGCAGTTAAAAATATGATTTTAGTTTTTTTATCATGTTTTCGGATAGAATATGCAATTTAAAAACTTTTTTAGCCTTGACACTTTTTCGATAAACCCACTCGTTTAGGAGTACAGCCTATGGAAAAATGACTTCCGGTGTACATTTTACATCATGTAGCTCCTAAACGAGTAAGTTTAGAGCAAAATTGCAAAAAGTAAATTAGTCTTAGAATTGCATCTTCATTCCTTAAAGACTATAAAATAAAAAGTTTTCCACTTTTCAAGTTTGCCGCCATTTTTTAAAATAATATAATTTCTTTTTTTAATTAATTTTATGGCCTTTTTGGAATGTGGATGCAATTGTAAGACTTTTACTCCTCGTGTTTTTGCTTTAAACTTACTTGTTTAGGAGCTACATGATTTAATATGTACACCGGAAGTCATTTTTCCATAGGCTGTAACTCCTAAACGAGTGGGGTTATCGAAAAAATGTCAAGGATAAAAAAGTTTTAAAACTGCCTATTATGTCCGAAAAACATGATAAAATATAGGGTGTTCGATAAGAAATTTCAAATTTGGCCGCCATTT